GACCTGAGTTCGATTCCTCCGCCCCTCTCAGAGAGCCCGGCAAGCTACCGAGAGTATCCCGCCCCACGGCAAAGCCTGGCAAGCTACCCATGACGTTGATATGCCAAAAACAGTAACAACAAGTCTCACAATGGAGATGTTACTCGTGCCCACTCAAGAAAATCGATGAACAATGGGAGGACAGTGTTATACAGTGCTACACTAAATCCCAATGAAACTTCAGTTCTGACAGAATCAGCATGTGTAATTTGGGAGGATGGCTTTTTGAGTCACAACCTAGCAGTACTGGGCTCTACTCCTGGCTCAGTGTTCAAGGGCTGCTTCTAGAAATATTCACTGGAGTATGTGGTTCCAAGTACTAACCCCAGGACTCCCTCATATAAGCATGTGCCCCAGCCCTTTGAGCTATTTGTCTCAACTTAGTATATATAATTTGTAGGAAAAAAGATTCTGGAGTCAGAGAATCCTAATTTTGATTCTAATAACTATTATCTTGGCCAAGATATGTTTTCTTGTTATTTTAGCAGATGAGACAGAAATAATGTTGAAAAAAATTTTCAAGACTTACTGGAAAGCTTGCCAGGCTTTGCCATGTGTATCTCGCCTGTACGGTAAAGCCTGGAAAGCTACCCGTGACGTATTTGATATGCCAAACACAGTAACAATAAGTCTCACAATGGTACTGTGCCTGCTCGAGCAAATCGATGAACAACGGGAGGACAGTGACAGTGACAGTGACTGCAAAGCTAGAGTATTCTTAATAATGAGGAACTAGCATAAGGATAGACAAAGAGACCAATGAAACATACTGAGAGTCCATAAATAAACCCATGTATACAGCTATGACCAATTTATTTTAAACATGGATGCCAAAACCAGTCAGTGAAGAATGAAAAATTTTTTCAACAAGTAATAATGGGGCAATGGGGTATCAGCTTGCAAATGAATGCAGTTTGACCCTATACTTCACATACTAAGGTTCCCCCAAGATCAACAAACCAAATATAAGAACTAAAACTATGAAATTCTTTGAAGAAAGCTCATTAGTGAATCTTTATGGTCTCGTACTTAGCAACAGATTCTTAGAAATTACACTAAAAACCTGAGCAACAAAAGGGAAAAAGTAGATTGAATTCATCAAAATTGAGAGCTTTCGTGTATCCAAGGACATTGTCATGAAAGTAAAAAAGACAACTTAGAAAAACAGGAGAAAATATCACATATCTGGTAAGAATCTAGTAAATGATATAATCAGATTACTCAATATGTTAAGAATTCCTACAACTCAACAACAGAAAAAGAAGGAAGGAAGTGGTTAAGGAGAGATGGCAGTTCAGGGTGTGGAATGCATTTCTTAGGGACATTATGACTGTCATTCAAATCACTCAAGGCAGGGAGATAAAGTGGGTACATGAGTCCAGGGATGAAAAGCCAGTGAGAAAAGAGCATTAGTGGGAAAAACTTATAAAAGAGGCTACCTAATTGGTTATTCATAACTTTGGAGTGACCATATGTAATTAAATATTTTGCTGTGGACTGTTTGGTTAAGAGCTTTTGTAACAACTCAAGAATGTAAATAGGTGTGGCTGGAGGATAGTACAGCAGGTAGGGTGTTTGCCTTGCACACAGCCGACCCTGGTTCCATTCCCAGCATCCCATATGGTCCCCCGAGCACCGGCAGGGGTAATTCCTGAATGCAGAGCCAGGAGTAACCCCTGTGCTTCGCCAGGTGTGACCCAAAAAGCTAAAAAAAAAATTAATTAAGGCCAGAGATATAGTACACCAGCTAGGGCACTTGCTGTGCAGACAGCTGATCCAAATTTAATCCCATCCCCAACACCATATATGGTCCTCCAAGAACCTCCAGGAGTGAGTCCTGAGCAGAGAAACATGAATTAAGTCCTGAATGTGACTGAAAAACCAAAACAAAATAAATAATAACAAAAAATGGAAATAGTTGCAGAGAGATAGTACAAGAGGTAAGACAATTGCCTTGCATGTGGCCAACCCTGGTTTCATCTCTGGATCAACATATGGTCCCCCGGGCACTGCCAGAAGTGACCCCTGAGCACAGAACCACAAGTGTGGCCCAATCCCTTGCCCAAATAAATAAATAAATAAAATTTCCTACTCTAAAAACTAAAGAAAAAAAGGAGGTCCCAAAGCAATAATAATACAGTGGGAAGTGGGTAGGACATTTGCCTTGTACTCAGTCAGTCTGGGTTCGATCCCCAGCACCACATAAAGTCACCCAAATTCTGCCAGAAGTAAGCCTTGAGCACCACTGGTATTGGCCAAAAGAAAAGAAAAAGGAAATAGCTTAAAATTGTAGCAGGCAATTCATAATTTTATATGGAAATTTTTATCTTGAAATATTAGTCTTCAAGGTCATGCTACTGTGGTCATTCAAATTTCTTGTCATTTATAGCACATGGTACATAGCAGCTTCTCAATAAGTATTTGCTGACTGAATTAAAGAAATAATTTAAAGGAGAAATTGTAATCAACATCAAAATTCTCTTAAGTACTCTATTATTTGGATAAAAATATGTCTATAAGTATATTGTTAAATATATTAAGTATCATTTCGATGGAGAGTCCAGGGAGTGGTAGAACTATTTTCCTTTAGAACCCTTTGCAAGAATGAACTGTCACAGCTATGAAAGTTTGAATTCAACCTTAGAACTGAGTACAAACCAAAACAATAGCTCTTCACAGCAGAGGGCCAGGGCAATGAGACTACCTTGTGCTCATCCAGACCCCAAATACACAATCACAGAAATTCAGAAAAGCCACATGGTGTTTTGTAGAAAGCTACCAAAAACAGAAAAATGTAGCATCTTAGTGTTCCAGGCAACATTAAAGATGATTCACACCAAATCACCTTGTTATGAAGAAGCAGACTCAGAAAGTAAATGACTTGTCCAAAGTCAGACTACTACTTAATTGCGATTTCTGGCATCAAACCCAGGCTACTGTTCCATAATAGCAGCTTCCTCATGATAAACTGCAAAGTAAAAGGGATGGATATTAAAGTGGAGGAGGATGCAAACTAATTTCCTAAAATGATTGAAGAAGGCTGTGACTGCATTATCAGGTCAGAATCCCACCCCCCACAACCACCCTCCACTTGATTGCTTACTTAGCATTTTTTTAAAATCATGAATAACGACATACAGCAATATACATCTCAGAAAGCTGTTTTTTGTTGTTTTGGGGCCACACCTGGTGGTTCTCAGGGCTTACTCTTGTCTCTGCACTCACGGATGCAGAGCGAAGAAGAACTCTGGGGACCATCTGGGGAGCCAGGGATCACAGTCAGGTGGGTCATATGCAAGGCAAGTGCCCTACCCATTGTACTATTACTCTGGCTTCAGGAAGCTGTCCTTAGAGACTATCTTAAGAAATTTTTTAAAATCCCCTTCAATGGAAAAACAAAACAAACACAAAGTGACTTATTTGCTACTTAGCACCATCCCTCCTGAGAGACAACGGTTGAAGCTGTTTCATGAGGATGCCCTGAACTCTTGCTTGCTTGCTTTCCCTGTATATAAATGCATCGCATCACACATATGCCCAGGTAGGAGTGCTCTGGTCAGTACATATGGTAAACAAATATAGAGGTATCTCAGAATAAGTGCACAAGAGTCACAGAGACTGGAATCTAGCTCAAAGGGCTACTGCATCTATTTTGCATGCTGGAAGCTTGGGTTTGATTCCAGGCATTGTTTAGTTCCCCAAGTACTGCCAGGAGAAGCTCTTCTGTGAGTGTCATGGTCTGGTATGACCCAAAACAAATAAACACAGGTTTGTGCATGATAGCTTTGGGGGGATTCGGGTGAGTGAAGGATAACTTTCTGGTTTCAACATGTGAACAGTGTTACTAGCAGTTAAATGAAAAGTGTGTGCTATGTCTTTTGTGTTTATTTGGATTCTTTAAATCCTCATGGAAAGTCACCGAGTATCACAATTTACCAACAGAAAAGTAAACTGAAAATTCAGAAATGAAAGAAATCAAACTATGATTTCATTTATTAAAAAGTTTGAAAAATCCTTCAATAACAGTGTAAGGAGATAGTTCCACAGGCTAGCATGCATGTTCCACATGCAGGAACCCTGGGTTCTATATCTGGCAAAAAATGACACCCTGAGCACCGCCAGGTGTGACTTAGAAAATAATTTTTTAAGAATAATAAGTAAATGAGGTCCAGGAATGTGGAGGTGTGGCTCAGTGATGGAACACTTGCCTCACCTGTGTGACATCTTCAGTTTAATCCCCAGGTGGTGCTTAAAAGCCACCAGGGTCCCTGACCTGCTTGAGGCAGGTATATAGGGAGGGGGATGGGGGAAGCCTTATAGTGTTCAAAGTTGGACTCGAACCTTCAGCTCCACACTTTGTGCTATTTTTCCAGCCCCTGTTGCACTGTAGCACTGTCCTCCCGTTCTTCGTCGATTTGCTCAAGCGGGCACCAGTAACATCTCACAACAAATTGTGAGACTTGTTGTGACTATGTTTGGCATATCAAATACATCACGAGGAGCTTGCCAGCCTTTGCTGTGCAGGCGAGATACTCTCAGTAGCTTGCCAGGCTCTTCGAGAGGGGCAGAGGAATCGAACCTGGGTTGGCCACGTGCAAGGCAAATGCCTTACCCGCTATGCTATAGCTCCAGCCCACTTATTGTTAAACTGATTCCCAGCCCTAAACATTATATGTAAATATATATAATGATTAAAATCAGTCATTTTATTGAGGGAGAGAATTTACTCAAATGTTCACTGATAGAGGTAAAGGGAGGAACTGTGGGAAGTCAAATATGCTGGTAGAGGAGATCCGAACTCTGGCCAACATTTTCGGAATCCAGGCTTTTCCAGATCCTTCCGTGACTTGTTTCTACAGATCATCAAAAGTTTCTCGAGAACAAATGAGATAGGATTCTTCCAGCTGTCAACAAGAATCTTTAGGTTTTCTCTCAACCAAGGCATTCAGTGAAAATACAATTTATTTTTCAGATTCCTCCAGAGGATTAAATAGTCTCTTTCGCATAGCATTTCCATGCTCCCTGCTCTTGATCCTCTTTTCCACGTAATTTTTGTGACATTCCTTGAGCAAGTTTATCAAGATGTTGTACTCTTCAGCGTGCAAGTGGAGAGATAAGTCAGGAAGCATCTTTAGGAGAAGGTGATGGAGCACAGCAGAACAACCCAGATGGCGGGACCCCAAAGGGCTGCGGAGGACTCCATCCACCCGGCGTCCCTACTTGAAGCTGGTCATCTGGGCACCCGAGCAGTGAGCACCTTGCCAGTGAAAGTGTGGCCATGATATCATAAATACCACACAAATGTAGCATGTTTTAGTGTCCCTTGGCTCAAACAGATGGATAATAGTATACAACAGATTCAGAACCAAGATTCAGAACAATATACTACAGAAATCACAGGTTTAAATCCCTGGTTACCATTGGCATTATGATTTCTCAATGCCTGAAATAACATCTAAACAAAGGATATCTGCTTCAGGACAATGGTACTTGGATGATTTTAAAGGCCTTAATGAGATCAGGTAATTTGCTTGGTGGAGCTAAAAATTTACCTTCAGCTAATCAACAGCACAGCACATATCATCACAACTCCCTCTCCCGTTACATGCCTTCAGGTCAATCTATGGGAGACAAGTGACTAAGAAACCATTTTCTCTGGACATCTAAACTCGCACTCAGGGACCACTTTTTAAACATTTATTAAATTACTTTGGTCCAATTTACAATTAATGGAATGTCTATAGTGATGCAGATTCCATAAGCAGCTAAGGAAAATTACAACATGAACCAGAGCACTCATTTGTGGAATGAAAAAAAAATTGTGCGAGATCAATACCCAAGAACAGTAGAAACAAGGGCCATGGTTGAAATCTTGCTATGAGTGTGGGAGTGGGCAGTTAGGAGAGAGGAGGGACCACTATGACAATGATAGTTGGAAATGATCTGGACCAGAACTGAGTACCGAAAGTAGGTGAAGGGACAAACACATTGACCCTTTGGTACCTGTATTGCAAACCGTAATGCCCAAAAGGAGAGAGAGAGAGAGAGAGAGAGAAGTACCTGCCATAGATGCCATAGAGGCAGGGATAGAGGGGGGCTGAAGGCAGGAGGGAAACTAGGAACGTTGGTGGTAGGTAATGTACACAGGTGAAGGGACAGTTGTTGGGATGTTGTATGACTGAAACCCCAATTATGAACAACTTTGGAACTGTGTATCTCACAGTGATTTAATTTAAAAAAAATAAAACCTTAAATTAAAAAAAATTGAACCAGAGTGTGAAACAAACATGTTTTATGTTATTTTTACATTTGGATATTTTGGGGTGTTTTTTTCAATTCATAAAATACTTTGAGAAACTGCTGAAAAACATTTGTGCTTTCTGTTTGCATTTACTAAATAGTCCTAGCAGGTTATTCTAAGTGGTGTTTGCTCTTTTTCAGTAAGCTAGATATATTTTATTTACTTCTGGTTTGAGGGTCACACCAGACAATGTTCATGACTTGCTTCTGCAGTACTCAGGGGACTGTGTGCTGCCAGGGGTCAAACCTGGGCTCCTGCATGAAAAGCACAGGCTCCAGTCCTTTGAGTTATCTCTCCAACCTAGGCAATATATTATTATGTATTATTATTATTATTATGATAACAACACTGTGATTTAACAAGTTCTTCACAATACAGCTGTTTAGACATTCAATGTTCCAACTCCAATCCCACCACCAGTGTGACCAGTGTGACCTTCCTTTCACCAAGGTCTTCAGTTTCCCACCCACAACCTAAGCCTGCTTCCTTAGGCACAAACAAATTTGCTTCATATTTAAGCTAGGTATATTTTTTCTGTTTTGTTTTTTTCTTCTTTAAGCTAGGTATTTTTTTTGACTTTTTGGGGGGTCACACCTGGTGATGCACAGGGGTTACTCCTGGCTCTGCACTCAGGAATTACCCCCTGGTGGTGCTCAGGGGATCATAAGGGATGCTGGGAATTGAACCCGGGTCAGTCGCGTGCAAGACAAACGCTCTACCCGCTGTGCTATTGCTCCAGCATTTTAAATTTATATTTTAAATTTTAAATTTATATTTAAAATTTATATTTTAAAGAAAATCCTTGATTGAAATTGAAAAGTGTGTATTAGAAATAAAATAAAATTGCCAAGTCTACAAGGGGAAAGAAAGCAATATAAACCCACAGATACACTTCCTCTTAAAATGTATGTGGGTGAAAGGCAGGAGCGGGGGGAGGAAAATCTTCTAGTGCTCCTATAGGTTCAAACAAACCTGAACCTGCCCTCCTCATACCAACATCCAAGCCCAGTAGTGGTGCTCTGGATCCAATACTTAGAGGAAGTTATGCTTTATGCTGGGTGCCTGGAAATAGATTGAATCAGTTTGAGAAGGCAGGGAAATGACTCTCCTCGCTGTTGGGGAAGTATTGTGGTTTGCACTTTCATTCCATAGTGCAAAATATAACACTCACTTACCACACACCGTCACAAGACTGGATGCCCAGGACAACAAAGGTAGTCACTGTATTACTCCATGTGTCAGGGTCAAATAAAAACAGCAATCTAATGACATTAAGCAGTTAATATATGGGAACACTAAATAATGTGGACAGGGTATAGACTATTTTTTAAAATAATTTGAAAGATATAAAGCAATTGGGGACAGGTGATTATTGTTTGATTTTGTCCTGTTTCAGTGCCAAGGTTTAAATGCTCAGCCATGTGAAGCATACCCTCTATGACTGAACTATATCCCAAACCTAAGCCTTATTTTACAATTCTCACTTCCCAAAAAAACTTGAAATGGTATTTCAGTTCCACTGGGTAATTACTGGTTTCCTAGTAGAATAATGTGCTATAGACACAGAAATTGCATCTGCCCAAATTGTATGTGGAAACATAATGTTTTGAAGTTGTTTTGTTCTTGTTTTTATTTGGGGGCCACTCCCAACTCTGCACTTAAGGATCACTCCCGGAAGAGCTCAGGGCACCATATGTGGTGCCAGGGATCGAAGCTAGGTCGTTCGTGTGCAAGCCAAGTGTCTTATCTCTTGTACTATCTCTCCAGACCCAAAGACATATGTTTTATACATAGTAAGTGCTCAATCTATATGCTAATTTATTTAGCATGAATTTCTCAAATAAAAAATAAAAAGGGTCAGAGAGATGACCCAAAGGATTAGAGCACATGTATTGCATGCAGGAGCTCAGATTCAAACCCTGGCACCAGATGATCTCCCAAACATCACGCCAGGACTGTGGTCCTTGTGCAAATCTAGGTGTGGTCCATAATTTTAAAATGATTGCAATGAAGTGCATGAAGAAAATTGTGGGAGGCAATTAGGAGAGTGAGTGTGTTGTTTGGTTGAGTTCTGTTTTCTTTTAGCTCTAGGGAATCAAACCCAGGACCTCACACATGAGAGGTATGCACTTTACCACATGGCCTGGCTCAGGGAGAATTGTTCCAAATAAGATGGACTGCAAAGGCCAAACCTGGGAGTTCTGGGGGTGCCAGCCATGAGAATGCCTGGGGGAAAAAACATTCAAGGTGGGGAAAAAGTAGACACAAAAGCAGAGGTGTGACGAGAAGAGCCCAGGGGTGCAGAATGCCGTCTCCAAAATTCTCAATTCCAAGAACCTCTGAAGATTCTAGCCATACTCCTTGCCCTCTTTCACCTCTGAGCCTGTAAATACCATCTACTCTCCTGTCTACTCTTCCTAAATGAGTATTCCCACTTCCTTTCTCTGCTAGAAGCCCCTGGAACTTTCCACTGTGGTCACCTATGCCTGTGGCACCTTGAAAAATAGGATCACCCTTTTATCATCATCATCTTCACCTTCTTCATCATCGTCATTATCATTGGTTACTCAAAAAAGAAAAAAGCTGCTAAAGATGTGTCCTTAGAGAATGGGGTGGGTGTGGGACCCCAGAAACACCACCCTCACTGTCTCTGTCACTGTCCTCCCATTGTTCATCGATTTGCTTGAGCGGACCCCAGTAACATTGTGAGACTTGTTACTGTGTTTGGCATATCGAATACGTTGCGGGTAGCTTGCCAGGCTTTGCCGTGTGGGTGAGATACTCTCAGTAGCTTGCCAGGCTCTCCGAGAGGGGCGGAGGAATCGAACTCCGGTCAGCCGTGTCGGCCGTGTGCAAGGCAGAGGCCCTACCCGCTGTGCTATCACTCCAGCCCACAAATTTAGGAATTTCACTGAAAGGTAATATTTTGATATATTTAAAGAGAATCCCGACCCTCATTGTGTCTAAGAACTCTGGTTACATCTATTCTTTCGAGGGGACAGGAGTAAGGGGACAGGGGGAAACATTTCATATCCAGAGATGCTTACGGCTGTCTCCTAACTCTGTGCTCAGGGATCATTCCTGGTAGTACTCAGGGAACTAGACGTGGTTCTGGGGACAGAACCCAGATCAGCTGTACGTTCCCTGCCTACTACACTAAATCTCTGGCCCTCGCTTTGTCTTCTTTAACGGGAAATAAACTGAAGGAGGAAAAGGAATTCTGAGATTGGGGGTGAGGCACGAGGGAGGGAGTGAATAAAATCAAGTGGAGAGGCCAGGAAGGATGAAGGGCATAAATCAACAGGCCAGGAAGCACATAGACAGAAGTAAAGGAGACAAACTCCATAGGCATTTCTCTTCCTGCAAATGTCCGTGAGCGGGGGGATGGAGTGCCCTCTAACTTTTTCCTGGAGTAGCCTTTTCAGAGTGATGATATTTGGGAGTAAGATTCTGTGTATTGCCTAATTCCCCTTTTGGAGTAAAAATGAAAGGATTTTCGTGGTCAGAGAAAACACTTTAAAAACAAAATGTGAGGAGGCAGAGATAGCACAGCAGGCAGGGTGCTTGCCTTACACACAGTCAGGCCCCAAGCCCTCACCCATGAGTAAAATAAAAGTCACTTTTGTTTTGTTTGGGGGTCACATCTGGCAGTGCTCAGGGCTTACTCCTGGTTCTATGCTCAGCAGGGATGGAACCAGGATGAGTCCAATGCAAGGCCAATATTTGGCCTGCTGTACTGTACAGTAGACCCCTAAAATAAAAATAAAATTTAAAAGCAAAATAAAACTGAAACAAAATGCTAAGTCCGAAGTCCCATTAGCTTTTTATCTGGAAAATTGCTTGAAATTGGCAGTGACTTTTCTGTTAAGTAGCAACACAGGAAAGCGTTCAGCCGCCTCGAAACCTTCACATTGACCGCCCGGATGCACCCAAGTCAAGATCCTCCGCAGACAGGAAATGCCTTTGCCAGCTCCAAGGTCTCCTCCCCGAAGCCCGCTCTATTGTCTGGAGAGATTTGTGTACATCCGACCCAAGAGGTTTCCCGCCTGCAACTGCGAATCACAGAGCAGCCCTCCAAAGAGAAGGTGACCAGTGGGGGCTTTGCTAGCTGGGCAGACAACCTGGGGCGCCCCTGCACACTAGGTACTGATCCTTCCTCTCGGGGTGCACTGCCCACCTGCCTAGAAACCAGGCATCAAGGCTGAAACTTTCAAAAAGCCCCCAGCCAGCCTGGGTGACCTCTCTCCTCCTGACTGCCTTGTCCACCACCACGGGTGGGTACGACGTCTCAGCTGAGGGGTAACTGCTGTTCTGTACACCCTATATCTCAGAAACTTTGGGTGGATGAGTGGAATCTCCTATATATAATATATATAATACATATATGTAGCATATATGTATTTAATATATTATATATATATTTCACCAATTTAATGGAGCATTGGTGATGAGGTTAAAAAATAAATGAAAACATTTTTGAAGTCACATCATCTTCCACAAGGCTGCAGCATAACTGAGAGGAGGATTTGCATCGTGGTGGTTTCTCTCCAGCAAAATATATTTTTCCCCAAGTAGATTTTCTTGACTCCCTGCTCTCCTTTTACCTTGAACTAAAATGAATATTCACAGCAGTGAAACCACCAAAAAGGGGGGTGAAGGCAAGAGCTGTCAGAAATGTTGAAAGAGAAGAGGTACTTTCACTATCAGAGATGGTTTCCTCTTTTCCCACAAGATGGCTTATCAGCGTTCGCCCTGAGAGAACCATAAAATTCAAGAAAAAGAAATCTTATGCAATAGTTCTCTGAATAAAATACTACACAGCAAGCCAGTCATCCCTAAAAGTGATGTTGTTTAAAGAGTCAAAGTACATCGTCCAACAAAATCAATATCCTATTAAGTTAGAAAGGGTTCTGAATATCAAAGACCAACGAACTGAATAACTTAAAGTATAAGTACATGACCTAGGGGATTAATCACACACTGTCATGGTGAAATTAGGGCAATTCTTCCAATCATTAACGTTTTGCTTACAAAAATGTGCTTTTCTGTTTGTCTTTCTGCTAAATGATAACCGTTTTCAAGTTGAATCTCCTGATAAAAAGAGTTAAAAACAAGACAGGAGTTGTGCTGTAAAGGTCATACATGCCGCTTCAACATAAAATAGCCAAAAGACAAACAAATGAAAAATGCCTGGATTGTAGGAAGACTTTGTAAATATTCGCTGGATACCTCAGTGGGGCACCTGAGAAATAGCTCATGCCAACCAGTGTCATCCAGAAGATCCTGTCCAGCACCTCCATGGACATCTCTCCATGTTCCAAGGCAGGTTTAAAATTCAGAAGACAACCTGAAGAAAGTTGGAAACGATCTGGTTTCCGAGGATGGTCTGATTTACCCCCGGATTTCACCACCTCAAACTTTTCTAGATCAATACCTGGGCCTGTATTTCTCTGCTTGATAGTCATGATACAGTTATTCTGGAGAATAAACATTAACCAGAGGTTATCTCCAGGAGCAACACACACACACACACACACACACACACACACACACACACACACACACAGAGAGAGAGAGAGAGAGAGATTTCAGGACTGCTTTATTTCAGTAAGAGGTCCACAAATCTTCCCTTCTCTAAAACTCTGATCCAGATGATCCCATTCTCAAATGAAACAAATTCTGACCTTTGAACCTAATATAAACTGTTTATGGCCAGGACACTGGCACCCTGCCTCTGAGGGGGAGATGCTCCCTTTGGATTATCCGCTTTGAGCTCTAGCATGGAGGTGACCCAGCTATTAGGAGGAACAGCAAAGATAAAGAACGAAGTTGAAACTTTGAGATGGCTAGAAGGTGTGCTGTAGGTCACTAGGACCACGTTCATTGAACCCATGAGGACGGAAGACAAGAACTGAAACGTCAAGTCTTTGAACCGTCCAGGCCTAAGCACCTATTTAAGGACCCAAAATACTGATTTCCTCAGAAACCCAAATTCTTGAGCAGTCCAGGGTCACCTTAAAGTCTCAGGAGGCCACACACATCAGTCTCCTTAGAAATAGCTTTTCACTGTGTGCATGACGGGAAACCTCTGCCCTGTTTTGCCAGACCAGAGATCTTTTCTTCAGAGGCTCTCTGCCAGGCAGCACCCCACTCCACAAGAGCCCCGGGGCCTCGCTAGGAAGGCCTCCCACCTGTCCCCACAGGTTCTGCATCTTCGGGGAACACCAGGGATGGCTCAGGAAGCAGCTGGAAGTGTGCAGGAGTGCCTGGACCACCTCCTCAGCCCTTCATTCCCGCCTCTCACATCAGCTTGGGTTCTTTCTTCAAAGGCGGCTTCCCCGTCCCCCAGGGTCCTTCTTTCTCTCTGAGTGCTACACCCAGACGCTGAGACCCACAGCGGCCTGCGGGTGGCCTGCGGGCTCTACCTGCTGCTTCCTGTCAAGGAACATCTGAGAACACCTGAGAACCGGGGTACGGGTCTGCAGTCAGAGGTGCAAATGCCCGGCCCCGCCCCCGATCTCCCCACTGGGAACCCGGGATGGGGTCGGAGGAGTTTCCCGAGGGAGCTCTGGGTACTAACAATCTCCCAGACGGGTTCCCCACCCTCTCCTCGGAGCTGTGGCTCAGAGATGACGTCGAGTGTTGACTCAGGCCGGTCAAGGCCAGCGGCCCGGCTAGCCGAGGAGAATCGATGGGGCTGCCCACCTCGGCCCCCGGGCTCTCCCTCCTGCCCACTCCGGCGCGGGATCCAACCTGCGAGGGATCCGAGGCAAAGGCCCGGATGCACAGCGCCCCACCAGCGCCCCACTAACCCTCCACCCCCCCACCCCCGGGAAAGATCTGGATCGTCCTCCAGGACCCTCACCCTAGCCGCGGCCCATGCTCCTGGGTCTTCCCAGCTGCCAAGGTCCCTGCAAGACGCACCAGGAGAACCCCTGGCCAGGCATCGGGGGGGGGGGCTTTTAGAAGAGATGTTTGTTTCAAGTCATCAATGAGAGGTCTGTTGAGGTCAGCCGTGCCATCAAAGGATTTATTTTATAGACAAGTTACTCATTTAAAAACACAAACACCACTTTGGTTTTGTTTATTAACAGAAGACAATTATATATACACACATTATAAACAGTTTGATATAAAACAATTATCTACAGTCTACTTACAAGTAATTAACCTGCTACTTCTAGTTCAACTGTGATTAACTTTAGTCACCTGCCAAGTCAGTTTTTCTGCTTCAACTGGACGCTACTATAACCTTGACATCTTGGTCAGACAGGTATTGAGGCAGAGTGCAATACCGCATTTAAGATTATTGACTATATATTTCTGGTAAAAATGCACACATAAGACCCCAAGAGTTCTGAAATAGTCTCGGATTAAGGCAGTTTAACAATGTCATCTATAAAAATAAAAAACGTTTCCTTTCAAGAATTCAAGGTTATCTGAAAAGTGGGCTCCTTTCCCAAAGCTCTGTGCCCCTTTACTTTTCTATTAAGTGGGATATGCATAGAACTGATTTTAAAAAAGTCATTCAGGAAGATTCTATTAAATTCTTTAGTTATAACTTAAACCTTAAAGTTCCAAAATTACTTTTTATAAATAGAAAAAAATTCTTCATAAGAGGGGAAGGGGGAGATTTAATCAGTTAAGTCACTTTATCATAGAACCTAAAACCAGTACATACACCATTTCTTAAGGCAGAGTTAAGGTTTCAATGTGAGTATGTTATTTAGCCAGTGCACCAGATATTTTTGTTTTCAGACCACCAGAAAATTCCCTTTGTCAGACAGTTTAGTTTTCTGGCTCATCATGGAGCTTTTCTGTAGCATATGTTATTCCCATGTCCAGTTTCCTGAAGATGCTAATGTCAGGGGTCATCACCCTGCATTAAAATGGCCTTTATCCCCTTCAATGTCCACTTCCTGGTCAGAATCCTCAGAAATCTCAGACTCAAGATCTTCCTGGGAGGCCGGGGAGGGAGCACACTGCGAGCTCTCCAAAGCACCTCGACTCTGTTCACTGGGCAGGTCTTGCCTCTGGTTGCAGGGATTGTCTAAACTTTCAAGTTCTTCTTTTTTATTGCTTTGTGGGTTCTCCTGAAGGAAGAGAATGAAAATGAAGACCACTTAGATCATGAAAGATGGAGAAGTGAGAGACTTAAGTCAAAATCTTTTCATCTTCTACCTTTTTTAATTTTTAGTCTGTCAACTGCTTTCAGCTCTTATCTTTTTATTCAGAAAATACATACTGGCGAGTTGTTCTCACTTTCAAAGAAATAAAACGTGGCATCTTCAATCAATGAAGGAATCTGGCACCTATTCTGAATTATTAAGTCATTATTCCTATGTAAGGAATTTTTCAAAACATGTTGCTAGGAGTTAAAAGACAAAAAAAGTAAAAAGTCTCTATCATATCAGAGATGACTCTCTGGCCAGATAAGCACCAGTTATGAATACACATGAGGTTAAATGAATATGAAAATCTAGCCCAAGATTCTGAAAAGTTTGGAAGGAAATCAGATTATAGTCCTTTATTCTTCAAATTACCTAACCTTGTCAATTAATAGGGTCTCCTAGGTGTGGTAAAAATATGAATGCTAAATAGTCAAGGATAAAATTTAGCATTATATTGAATCTATCCATTTTCTGGAGAAGTTTTATAAACATTGTTTAACAGGAAAATTTGCGTGAGAAGTCACAAAATGACGGCAACTAAAAATGGAGACAACTGTAGTTTAAATCTGGGGGAAATTTCTAAAAATATTTTCATGTTCTACAGGAACCACTACTTTGTAAAGGCCTTGGTGAACTCCAATTAAGTAAACTAGCAAATTTTTAATACTAAAAAACATAAATGTCATGTAGAAATATTATGACATACTGCTAATTTTTTTAAAGCATGACTACAGAGTAACATACTCACAAGGCTTACTAGCCATATAACACGGTCAGAGAATGAGAGGAATTCTGCCTCCAAAATTTTTTTGCAGTGCCTAGAATCAAGCCCAGAGTTTCATCCAAAATTTGCAAATTCCTACTTCAGGGCATTATGTAAGAATAATGAAAATATGGAGTTTTATTTTCTGTCCCAATGTATTCTTTGTGACACTATCTTGTTTTTATTGAAAAAGTTATGATCATTAATCTTAATACATTTCTTTCCATTTCACCACTTGGAGAAATTATTACAAATTATAAAGTGTGTATACTCTGACAAACGTACGATTCCACAGTTCTCAGAAAACTTCAGAGAACACATCAGATCAGGTCAAATCAAAACCAAATCTTCAGCTAAAAGTCAACAGAGCTTTTCAAAAATGGAACTAGACTTTCCTTCTTATCGCATATTGCGTAACAAGGCCATCAGAGTTAGAAAGTTTGAGCTTCTTTACACACGGGCTTGGCTCTTCTACCTGTTCTATATTATTTTAAGAGCTGGGTTTAGATGAATAATAATTGTTCAACTCTTTGCAAATTAATTATAAAATACGGTGCAAACAAGACTTAAAGGTGTTTATTTCCTTATATTTACCTTCAAGCTCTGCCTGGTTTTATTATGGCTGGGTAAATAAACAATTTTCTCCCAAAGATAACTACTTAAGTAATTTACTGTCAATTACTTTATCTTTCCTGCGTTAATTAGATAAACAACATATGGGGTTTATAAAACAATTAGCTGGGAGCTTTACTAGCCAGTGTGTGAAAACCCAAGCATAATTGATATAGGAACTGCATTAGGTGCTTTTAACATTACTGCCACCTGAGCAACTCATCCTGAATTTCAGCAAGACTATTTGCCTTTTTAATCAAGGTGAAGAGGTTAAATAGCCTCTCAAATGACTTTTGCATACAACCCATAACAGGCCTCGCATAGAGATAACATGAGAAAAATATTAATTTCCATAGAAACAGAACTACGTCCATACCTGTTTAAGTCTTCTCCACTTTGCGCGTCGATTCTGAAACCAGGTTTTGACCTACAGGAAGGAAAGAATGAAGACTCACCCCGAGCCCAGAATCCCCAAGGTCCAGGGTGGGCGGGAAGCAGGTCCTGGGACAACGGAACAGCGCAGCGCTCCGGGGCGTCGGACGGCGCGCGGGGGGCCCCAGGCTCACCGCGCCGGCCCGCGCCCGCCTGCCCGCAGCCCCACAGCCCGCCCGCCGGCGCGCTCACCTGTCTCTCACTAAGTTGCAGCATCTTGGCCAGACGCTTCCTCTCGGGCGGTGAGAGGTATTTCTGGGTCTCAAACTTTTTCTCCAGCTCGATGGTCTGGTCGTTGGAGAACCTCACCTGTCCGCCTTTCCTTTTATGCAGGGGCCTTTGCAAGAACGGGCTCCAGAGCAGGGGTTTGCCTGCGGACCGCAAGAGTGGGGGGGAGGGGGAGGTTGGAGCCGGCTCTGGAGTCCCAAACCCTGTCTAGGGGCTTGCGCGGGTGCGGGGTTGACGTAAGGGCAGAGACGCCGGCACGTTCACACATACGCGCCACCCGACGCAGGGGCCCGACGTGCGTACGCATGCATAGCCAGAGACACGCACACACACGACCAGTCCTCGGAGCCTCTGAACTCTGGGCATAGGCTTAAGGGTCATAGACCAAGACCCTCTGTCCCAAATCGCGGTCGAATGCACACGCTTTCCTGCACTTCCAGATCCTCGTCCCTGGGGAATCGCACCTCCCCGGTATCCAGGGCCGAGCAGGGGAGGCGCCTGAGTCCGGGCCCGCTGCGCCCCAGGCTGCGCGCACAGCCCCGGGCCCCGAGCGCCGGCCTTAGGCCGCGCGTGGCGCTTTCAATCTTGGCTCGAGGGCGCCGCAGCAGCCTCTGATTTCACACCCGGCCTGCGGGGGCGGCCAGTTAAAGCCACCCCGTGGGCTATGGCAACATTTCCGTCAATGTGTTTCCTGTTGGTCTATCTCGAAAAACCCTTTGCTTCCTCCTGCACAGTCCCAGCAGTAAACCAAGGAAACCCAGCGCGCTCTGTGAAAACGTTCGCCCCGGGCAGGCCCGGCCCGGCCCGAAGCGGGGTCCAGCTTGGGCGAACCGCAGCCGCAACCCTCAAAGGCTAGAATCAAAATATACAACTTAATAAGGTAACAACCTCCCAAAAAAGCGAAATTATAATCTCTCCCAAGTATGATGACTAGAAAGGCAGCGGACTGAGCTCGAGGCCACACACCACTATCTGATGACATTAGAAAACGTTAATCTAAAAAGTTAGTGGTATCTAGGGTCGCTCCAAATCTTCAACTCTGGGGACCTAAGACAAGGGAACCCCGTTTCTTTATCAATCCCCGAGTTTCCGAGGCCAAAGGCGCCAAAAGCCACCCAGAGCGCGGATCCTCGGGGGATTTCGGGCGGTTTATTCTTAGGCCACGCACACCGGCCCCGCAAACGTTTGCCCGACGTGGCGCCCTCTCTACTCCAAAGGCATTGGGTCAGTCCATCCGTCTGTCTAAGGGAGGCCGTCTATGAGCTTTGAAAGCTGTCATTGTTTGGGGTTGATTTCTTTTTTATTTTTTTTCTCGAGATTTTGCTTACGTCAGGCTTCAGACTGGTGCAAAACAGCCTCAAAAAAAAAAAAAAAAAGGAAGCAACTGGTTATTTTAGCTGCCATAAAGTCACATCCCACACAGAGGAAATGAACAATATCAGAAAAACGGATCCCGGCTATCAGAAGTCGAGTGTTTCCTGAATTTGTCTGTATTGAGGATGTCGATAAAATAATCAGCAGCGTGCACTACTCCGGGGGAAGGGTCTGCTTCATGCAGCCAGGAAAACACTTAACAGCTTCTGAAACCAGATTTACTCCTATCGAGAACTCAAGATTTCCTGTATGAACGGAAAGGGTCAGGCTCTTTCACTGCACAAGCCTGTTGAACCCGGTCCAGCCGCGTAACCACCCCGACCGGGCAGCTCTCCCTGCCCCGCAGAGGTCCGGCCGTGGGGGCGCCTGGGCACTCTCCTCGAGGTCCCTCCGGCTAAGGGGGGTGGGGGTCCCACCCCGGACCGTCTCGGGCCTCCTGCCCGGGCCGCCGCGCCCGCGCGCCCCGACGTCTGCAAGGTGCAGGAAAACCAATCTGAGTCACGATGCGGTCAGCCCGGGCCGCGCGCCCCGCGGGGCCTGCGCCTCCGTTGCCCGCGCGCGCCCGGGAGCCGTTTTTCAATCGCTTCGGCCGCAACTTTCTATTGCCTGCTCCCTCCGCCCCCGCCGCCTCCGGGCGCTGCCACCTGCAGGGTGGCGCCTTCCTCGCCTCGCCGCCGCCGCCGCCGCCGCCGCCCCGGCTCGGCCCCTCCGTGACCCCGGCCACCTTACCCAGGGGGTCGTGGCGGAGCAAGGGGTGCGCGTAGTCGTTCACCGTCCGCGGGAAGGGGTACAGGGGGGCCCCGAAGCCGCCGGGTCCGTAGGCGGCGGCCAGCGCGGCGGCGGAGTGATGCGAGAAGGCGGGGTGGATCGGCGTGGGCTCGTACACGGGGGTCCGGTAGGAGGACACGAGGCTGGTGAAGGAGGAGTTGGGGGACGGCAGCGTGGGGGCGGGGGCGGGCGCGGCGGGCCCGCGGCCCAGGATGTCCTCGATGTAGAACGGGGTCGGGTGCGCGGGCTGCAGCAGCGGCGTGGGCGCGTACAGCGGCACCCCGACGGCGCCCGCCGCGGCTCCGGGGTGCGGGTACTGCATGGCGCGCCGCGCTCGGCCCCGGGAGAGCTGCCGGCCCGCCCGCGGCGCGACATTTATCCGCGCTCCGCGCCGCCGGCGATAGGCTCGGCCGGCCGCGGGGTGGGGCCGCGCGCTCTGGCCCCTTCCTGCCGCCCGCCGTGCGGCCAATGGCGCGGAGCCCCGGGAGCCGCCGCCCGCCCCCGCCCCGGCCCGCCCCCGCCGGCCGCGCTCCCCGCCCCGGGACGCGCTCGCCCGCAGCCGGCCGGACCCCGCGCCCGGGCGCGTCGCCGGCCGGGCCCGCGCGCGACGGGCGCCCGGAGATGCCCGGGTGGCGGCGGCTGGCACGCGGCTCCCTGCGGCGTCGACCCCGGGCTCCCGGGCCCCGGCGCGGGCAAAGCCGCTCGGTCGGGCGAAACTCGGGCCCGGCCCCAGGTCAGGGGCACCTGCCCTCGGACCCGCGGAGCGCCCGGGTTCCAGCAGCGCCGCGCCTTCGAGGCCTGCACTCCCGGGAGTAGCGGTGGCAACTGCCTGTGACCCCGCGGCGTCTCCGGGGCGCGTAGCGAGAGTAGCCTGGGTTCAGGGGGCGGGGAGGGGCTGCAGCGCCGAGAGAGAAATCCACGGACCGTCGCCGCGTCCCACTGGGCTCCTCATGAAGGTGCTCCCCACTCCGGGCCTGTCGCCAGCCTGTCTCGGTTGCTGGCTCCGGGATGCAGCCTTTTCCTGGGCACGCTGGCAGAAGTCAGATTGCGCGGAAATCAAGGGAAGTGCGGGCAGAAACTGGACAACCGGCCCGCTCCTTAAGGGGTGTCGCATGCCCAGACCCCACCACCACCGCCACCCCGGGGACCGCAGCTGCAGCCCGGCCCTCCCGGTGTGCACGTGTTTCCTATTGAAGCGGTGGCGCTCGCCAGCCAGCCAGTACGGCCTGGGCTTGCTGCGTGCAGCTCCGCTCGCCTAAGGGCCAAGGGGGCATTTTCTTGATTGACGCCCTCCTGCGGCCGTCACACCTCGCGGCCAGCAGTTTCTGCTAGGTTCTTTCATTACCCGTGGAAATGAAATAACTTCCCAGGTTTTTCTCTCGAGAAGACTTTTTTTTTTTAATTATTATTTCTTTACAATCTCGCAGCGATTTCTCCAGCTGCAGCGAGGCCGCCGTTGGAAAGAGTGGATTGGAAGCCGTCTGACCTGAGTTCGAGTTTCACTACACATTTTTGTTGAGCCGCTACTGTGTGCCAGCAGTGAACAAGACAGATGACTTCCTGGCCTCAAGGCAGGAAACAAACTTTTTAACACACTGCCTTGTGTGTGTGCTGGAAAGGAGAAGTACATAGTGATCTGAAACCTTATAACAAGGGGACGTCACTTAATTGGGGGAGGAGGGAGGAAGCAAGGATAGGGGTTCTCCAAAGAAGAGATGCTTGCAAAATAAATGTCTAGAAAGGGTCGAACTCTCCCAGATGAAGGATTAACATGTGAAAGTTGCCAGTGCAATTTTGCTTAAGTCAATCTCCCGGAGATTTTTTTCGTTTCAAACATGTGAAGCTTTGCCTAAAGTTTCCTAACCTTCTGGCCTTGGGTTCCTGGGCATCCTTGAGCAGCTGATGACAGCCAAGAATTAACAAAGACAAACACAAGTAAGTGGAGCATGTTATTTTTAGAACGTTGAGTATCACACAGGGACACACACAATACATCACACTCTACAAAGAGATGGAGTTTGAGAGAGGATACTTTGTATTTAATGAGTATTTGGAGAATTAAAGTGTGTGGGATTCACGGTGTAAGAAAGTCCTTGAAGAAACTAAATTCTAAGTCTTGGACAAGAAAAAAGGTGAGCTTGAAACATCTTGTGCCAAAAAACCAGGATCCATCTTGAAGGCTCTTCCCATGGCTAACTTTGAAATGATGTAAGCATCAAAACACCCCATGATTTATAGTGCCTGTTGAATATAACAGTTTCTAGTATTACTGTCATAGAGATATTCAAAGAAAGAGATGGTGAATGATAATGCAAAAAAAAAAAGGCAAGTAGGAAGACAGATAAAATCGGAAAATGATTTTATTTTGATTAATGATTCTTTCAGGAAATGACCATCATTAGGGCAGAGATGTGACTTAGCTGTGAAGTTCATGTTTGCGTGCTTGTAACCGAAGTTTAATTCCATTCCCATCACCACAAAAATAAAACTCACCACTGTACACCAAAACCATTGCATGCAATATTGTTCATGAGAATTTACACAGATAGTATGAATTTCTCATACTATCACACACCAATTAATTGGATTCTAGATTTTTGTTGTTGTTTTGGGTCACACCTGGAGTTGCTCAGGTCCTACTCTGGTTCCTGTACTCAACACTTCTGGCGGTGTTTGGGGGATCATATGTGGCTGGGAATCAAACCAGAGTAAGTGATGTGCAAGGCAGTCAGTCACCTACCTGCTCTACTTTTGCTCTGTTTCTTAACTTGAAAATATTAGATATAAAAAAAATGAGTATGGAAGCGTGGTTTTATGTAAAAAGGTAAAGGATCTCTCTCTCTCTCTCACCTTTATCTTTTTTGGAATTTTGGGCCACACCAACTGGTGCTAGAATGACCCCTGGCAGTGCTCAGGAAACCATATGCAGTGCTGAGATTGAACCTGGTCAGCCACGTGCAAGGCAGGCACCTTGCCTCCTGAACTATCTCTTTGTCTCTGGCTTTTTTTAAAAAGATATAAATAACTGGGGCCCAACTGAATAGCACAGTGGATAAAGACACTTGACTTGCAGGCATCTGACCAGGGATTGGTTCCTTGTGTCCCAGCATCCCCTGAGTGCAGTGCAGTGTCGGAAGTAATCCCTGAGCATCACCAGATACAGCCCCCAAACCAAAGGTAAAGGTAAAGGTAAAGGCCCTCCCGTTGTTCGTCGATTTGCTCGAGCGGGCCCAGTAACGTCTCCATTGGAGACTTTGTTGTTACTGTGTTTGGCATATCGAATACGTCACGGGGAGCTTGCCAGGCTCTGCCGTGCGGGCGAGATACTCTCGGTAGCTTGCCGGGCTCTCCGAGAGGGGCGGAGGAATCGAACTCGGGTTGGCCATGTTGGCTGCGTGCAAGGCAAACGCCCTACCGCTGTGCTATCGCTCCAGCCCCCAAACCAAAAATAAATAAAATTCTTTGATTTTAAAAATATACAAATAATTTAAAATATTTATTAAATCAGTGTCAAGTTCAGGCAGCACATTGTCTTGGAAACCACTTGTCGGGGACTTTGCAAATCACCCATCTTTCTGTGGTCCAGCTGCTGGAGTGACCACCCCTGAGTCCGCATTCTCAACCCTCTCCCAGAGGAAAGTGCAGTCAGGTACTTGGAGACTGTCTTCTGTTCACCAAGGGCACGTGGGAACACAGAAAAGACAGTTACCATAACAAAGCTTAAAAAAAAAAAGTGCCATCAAAACTTATGCTTGGTTCTTGAAAGATTATCTCAGTGAACTAACAAAATCACTGTGATGACTTCCTCACAAGAGATTTCTCCCTCATCCCTGTTTTTCTTCTTTTCCCAGTTCTTTCCACTTAGTAAGGCAACAATTCTAATTCACTTAATTCTGCTCAAGTAAATTATTCTTCAAGAGAGTACGGTTTCCTTTATTCTGTGTATGACTCAGCCACAAGTCAAAAAAATTTTTTAAAAAACACTGTACAAACCTTCCAAAAATAAATATTAAAATGCTAGTTAATCGTTAATTTAGAAAAAGAAGGCATCATCCCCTTCTTTGATTTAGCCACAGACCCAGAGAAGTGAATGGAGATCTTAAAAGGTGTTGGTATAACATTCCAGCTCTACTACATAACCTTCACCAGTGAATTGAAGCACTTAATTCCGTTAAGCTGCATAACACTACCTCTTCTAAATCCAATCGTCAGATCTATGTTCATTTTGCTATAGTTAAAAAAAAAATTACAACCACATTTATGAATGTCACATTTATTGAGCTACATAATTTTTAATATCACTTGTGTAGGTTTTATAGTTTGTTTTATTGTTTTAAAAGTCATTTGGGGCCCTAAGAGAACTAGATTTTTCCAAAGTTGTCCTTATAATTTTTTCACACAGTCAAAACTAATAAAACAAAACTGTTGTAGCTATTTAATTCAAAAATCTCTTGGAGTTTCAATATTTTTTCTCTGCTGGATACTAAAACCAATAAAGCTACATGAGATTTTAATTATATTCCGAATTAAACAAGACTCTCCAAAGATTTGGCACCATTTATTTTAGTCAGGGCTATTGTGCAAGAGACCATACTTGGTGAGAAAGAAGTTGGTTGCCACCTTATTTATCTAGTAGGAACTTCAGTAAAATTTTGCAATTTATTTTCTGTGATTAAATATATGAAGGTAAAACTTCAAGGTAGCTAGAGTTTAGAAGTATCAGTTTTTTTAAAAGTTGGTCTATTTTTACTTGCACTAAAATTTTTATTGTTTCTGGAGAGCTATTTCAATGACGGGAGCACAGACTTTGCATCCAAGTTGGATCCCCAAGTTGGTCCCTGGAGCACCACCAGGAGTAGCCCCTCAAAACCACTGGATGTGGCCCCAAAATTTAAAAAATATTTATCTTCAAATGTTGTAATTATTTCCTATTACATACTAAATAGTTTTATCACATTTTATCTAAAGTCTGACATAATCTCATTTGTGTCTTACTGTTTAACTTAGAAAATGCTGACAAGTGCAAATTAAAATGTCTCATCTACGTCACAAATGGGATCAGAGCTGTGGAACACATGGGTAATATAGTCCCCATGAAACCACTTCAGCGATGTTCCATTCCACATTTTACATATTCCAGTATGCATCACTTAGCATGTAATATGGGTGAGTTTTATTGACTACAGAGCTATGGCTGAGCTTATGATATTTATTTGCTAATCCAAAAAAGGATGAAGAAACCAAAGGGGATGGAGGAGGACCCAGTTTTGACAATGAGAAAATAATCTGAATAGACTTTACTCCATAGAAGACATATGAATGGGTGA